AGTTGGCAATGAAAGTTGCAGGCCCCAATGCCATCCATATGTTCCATGAGGGAATAAAAGTACATAGTGTGTTGGCATGTATGCAGCATGCGTCTGGCTGATACGCTGAAAGTGTTGCTCAAATCCAGTGTTTTGACGAAGACTGTTATTGCCTCTCAAGGTAAGAACAATGTCACGAAAGCTTCTATCACTATATTCAATAGGGATAACCGCAGCAACTTCTTCCATTGTTGGCAAATTCTGAATATGTCTGTCACCTCCTTCAATCAGACGCATTCTCATGGAAGGACTGATAACAATGTATGGTGCATTAGTTTCTGTTTGATCATTATTATTACTGTCGCTCTCATGGTTGCTCAATATCTCATGTGCATGACGATATACACGTGCGAAGGGGTTACATTGGGCAAGCATGACTGAAAGCTCTCTAATGATCTCAGGATCAAGGTTGCTGTGTCGTACTTGTCTTCGTTCAGCGGCATAACATGGATCAAAGATATACAGCTGGGTGTAGGAAGGCTTACTGCCTTCAACTGGAGCCAGGGGGCCTTGACGGTGGCAAAGAGCACCATGAATCTGAAAGGCGTTTAATCTACCTCTATTGTTATTGTTGTTGGCACGATCCTCAGGCGAAACAATATCGCAGCCCAACGAAGTAAAGGCAAAGGCAGCGTTGTACTGGCGAAGGTTGTCCTTAAAGTGGCGGCCTTGAGTGTCCGTACGTTCGAGCAAGCCCTTCAAGCACTCAGGTGGATCAGGCAAGAGTTGCAACTGGACTGATCCTCGCTTGCAACATGACTCCCAGCTAGGATTTCTCATCGAAGATGTCTCTTGCCTTTCATCAATCCAGTGTAAGGCGTGACAGTGTGAGCATTCCTTGTCCATACATCCAAGGTTCAAAGGACGAAGGCGAGAAAGCTGCGAGATATAGGCAGTAGGAATAGTCTGAGAAGGTTCTACTCTAGGTCTTCTCCTACGCCTTACCTGGCTGCCTTCCTGCTCTTCTTGTTCAGCTCGACGTCTGCGTCGTGATGCTGCAACTTGCTCTCTGCATTTTTGGCAGGTACGGTAAGCTGAGTCAACTGGTAAAGGTGTATGGCAGGATGAGCAGTTGGTAGTAAGTGCGGAAACGGTATTGTTGTTTATGTAGACTAATGTAAGATCAAGCGTTAGTGAACAGGTCCTAGTGCAATGCCTTTAAGAAAGTGCTTATTTTTGCATGTACCTAAAGGTTCTTATTGAAGGTGCAATATTATGAATATATAAGAAAATAGGAAAATAGGAAAAAAAAAAAAAAAGAGTAAAACAGGATCAAGGTACAGCAGTGGCAATAAAACATGTGTGCTTATGCGTCGCGTGTTCGGTCCGATACAGATGGTAAAAAACAGTCCTTTTCTTTATTAATCTGGCTTTTGTGCGATAAAATGTTTGTGCTATTCCGGGTTTTGTGCGGTAAAATGCTTGTGTTACTTGCATATTTTTTTCTCTAATTCCAGTATAAACTAAGGAGTACTAAGGAGTAAAGGAGTACTACGTGCCCACTTGGGTTTAATAAAAGATTGTTTAACCGTATAGCATGAGTCTATATAAGATGCTACAACTAGGAGGCAAGATATCGAAGGAGAAATTGCGATGATTTTCGATTCCCCCCGGTTAATGGACTTTTGTAGTTCAATAGCCTTGTTGCTGTTGAGATGATAATTGCTCGCAAGTAAGGTGACTAGTAGCCAATTGCTGTTGGAAACGTGGGTTCAAGCGGGAGCAAACTTGATAGGCATTTATTGCCGAACCGAAGATCTACTGGTTATTGGTGTTGCTGCCGTTATAGATATTGCTGTATCTTTGTTATTGAATGTGAAACCAAAGTGTTCTGATGACAGTCCCGATCGAAAAGCAGCTGAAGAAGGGCACGGTTGGAAGAAGCATCCAAAAAAACTGTGAAGAGGAAAGAAGAGTGGATGTTATTGGAGTGCATCAAGGCTTTAATGGAAATGTTTCTTTTGGAATGAGAAATCGATGCCATCACGTATAATAAGAACGATCAAAGATGTCGCTACTGTGAGACGCTCATTATCATTAAGCAAAGTCTTCGATTAAGAACTTTTCTACCTAAAGTATCAAGAGGATGAGAATCACCGGACAACGAGCGTTGAAGAGATCTTAGATGGCTGTCTTTTTGTACTTGACCACGATTCATATGATTACGAGCTTCAGAAAATGTACTATGTGGTACGTAAGAAAGGCCACAAACTGGTGGGTAAGTATCGATAATATTTGTACGATCAGCGTTAGGGAGCATTGGAGCAGTAAAGAGATCTCAATCAAGGTCTAAACGACCTTTTACTACAAGAGTTAGAGCCCAAACATTACGGAGATAAGCTGAAAAGGAATACCTGGTTCGTTTGGAGATGTTTGACATTGTTGTACTAATTGCTACGCAAGAGCTTGAGTTTTGACCAATTATTGGTGAAAGGTATTAATAGAATCTTTAGTAAATTCTGATATAAAGAATATCCCAGACGGCGTAATTGACCGAGCGAAAAGAAGAACACATCATATATCCTTTCTTGTTGGCTCTTTCCGACCGTTTACTAAAATTTTCCAGAGATTTTCTGAACTCTTTTTGATCCAAGGTCAAAAGAAAGCACCTTACAGATAATTTATCATACAAAATCATAGATGCAATAACTAGAGTGTCAAAAGAAGATCGCGAAAGTTGGATAAACCACTGTTTTGGTTTATTTGATAGATGTTTAGCTTTAGAGCAAGTGTTGTAATCAATCTCGATATTACATTCCAACATACAACACTTTACGAAGTTCAGAATATGCTGTTTATAGTAGAATTGAATGTTTAAGCAGGTATAGTTTGAGAGAAAACATATCGCTGCAAATTCGTGTCAAATATACTAAAACTGATTTTGTAGGGACCATAGCATACATTAAAGTCAACCTTTTCGACAGCCTTACAACGCTTTCTTCGTTACATTCGCGTGTGATGTTTCATGCTGTAGTTATAGCTAATCTATCCTTCTTTGATCAAGTCATATATCGCGGCCACTTTTGGACCCGGTCGTATCCTTGCTGAAATTTTTCCACAGGAAGATATTGTATCTGTTTAATTGATAGACTGCAAACAAAGTCCTACATGAAAATTTTCCGCTGCTTCAGCTAGAACAATTGAAAGAGTTTCGGTACCTTTAATCTTCCATTCATATGAATAAAAGGTCTCTCTTTGGAAATATTCTTTAGGAATTGAGTACAAGTATTGTTGTTTCGCGTGAATGCAGCCTCTCATATGTCCATACCCACCTTGACTGTCTTTAAAGAAAAAAGGAGGGAGAAAAGAAAAGTGGGTAGAGCGAGTCCACAACTGTGACTTTATGACTGCATGGCGTCAACACAAAGAAGTACTCTCAGATAATGAAAACAGTGACAGTTTTTATTCTAAATGGTATTTCTCTTTTTGGAAGAGGAAGCCATGAATTGAAGGTGTATGTGTATCCTAGATGTAAATGACGTAGTACAAACTAAAAAAACGACATATGAAAGCTGTAATGAATTTATTATTATGTACTATTATGATGCTAATCTACTGCTTTCTTGTGTGAAGTGAGTGAACATAAGTCCAAGCACCCGAATCTAAGTGATGATGCAAGTCCATTTTTGTTCTTAATGCATGGTTTTTCTTTTGATAGTCGGTTCCATTTGACGCATCGTCATCTTTTTCGAACTTGAACAACTTTGGCTCCCAAACTTCCTTCTTTTCCTCCCTTTCTTTACGAATACCTCGTTGCCATTCTTCAATTCGTGTCTTTTCCTTGTTAGCCACCTTGTAATTCTTTTGCTTTAGTGCTTCTGTTACTGGTCCCCAAACGCGGTGTGATTCAATTTCAGATTGTTCCTCAACAGGTGGTGTCACACGCTTTGCCATCGGTTCAGCTTCTGCATCAAATAATAGCTCCTTTTTGCTATCCTTTCCTTTTGAGTAAAATGATTGATGACTCCAGCGGCCCGAAAGTTGGTATTGAACTTTGTCATCGTGATAAATCCATCCCTTGATGTGATTATATTCTCCACCAAACCATGGCTTGGGTACAAACTCGATCGTTGCCTTTGTGTTATTGCTGCCCACAATTGTACATACTCCTCCTAATTCAATAAAGGCTCCACCAGTAAGTACACCTCGAATAAGAATATCTGGAAAATCAAGCATGTATTGCTCATCATATTGCTTGAGATATAAAACAGCTCGCCCCACTTGTTCAACACGGATAGAAGTTCCTTTGAATTTTGATTTTTGTCCAGCTATCGTATACAATGTGAGTAAGTGGTGCAAAGGGTAACCAGGTATATACTTACTATGGCCATTTAAACTGACACCTGCCTTTTCGTCTTCGAGATAAAAGGCAGAAATTGGGGGGTGATGACAGACTTGCTCACAGATGCATTTAGCATCGCCCATGGTACAAAAAAATTGCTCACCCAAGATTGGATTATAAGGCTTCTTTTCAAATTTACCACCTGTGCAACGGGAAGCGTAACTACCCCATAGAGTAGAAATAAACCAGCGACAGATAGACAGCATGCGGTCTATTTTAGCTTATAAGCACTCGTTTCATTACATTCTATTTCTTTTACCTTCGGGAGATTGTGCTTGAGTAACAGCTTGGAAAAGAGCAGGATGATCACCCCAGTAGGTGCTACATAAAGAAGTGAATAAAACGATCCCAATTGTGTCTATAGTTATTACCCATATTCTAATAAAGAGAGACCATTCAAGAAGAAAGCTGGGCAGGTGAGTGAAGAGAGGTCACCTGTGAAACTGATAACTACTTTTAAAAACTCTTTAAATTCTCTAAATTGACTCTTTTCTTCCAAGTTCTTGACGGATAACTTGTCGACATCATTTTCTGAAGGCGGTTCTTCATCCAAAGCCTTGCTACTATTCTTTTTGTCTTTGCTTCCAAATCCTATAGCCATTTTTTTGATAGAAATAAAAGGAAATCCGGAAAAAATAAAAGAGAGAAAAAAAAAAAAAGGGAAAATTATCTCTAATCTTTTTCGCTCATAGAAAATAAGGCCGGAGTTTGGACACCAGAGTTTAATCCCATGTGTTGTAAGTACAATAGCGAATGAAGGGTAGATTACATCATCAACCCTATTTTCTATTTTATACATTTCATATAAAAACCCAATATTATGAATAACCTTTCATTTATTTAAAAAGGGCATTATCAAATGTTCGGATCAAAATGCAGCAAACCTGTGACGGACAATGAGCGATCTGTACAGCTGTTTAAAGATATTTTTAAACAGCGAATGTAATTTGAACGTGATGGTTGTACACTGTCAGAAAAAATACATCTCTGTGATTCGTATAAATTGTATTATAAATAAATAGCAATACCATTTAGAAAAAAACAGACGTGTTGAAGCCTTTGCATTTTTCTTTTTTCTTTTATTCTTATATGTCATTCTTCTAGGAATAATGTGACCTGATATTGCTCTGATACAGGGGTTTTGTTTTTAATACTTTGGACTTTTCTAATGCATACTATATCATTTATCTTATGTAATCACCATAGTGCTATGAAAAAGTGTTCTAAATGAAGCTGACGTTCTGACAGACAGTCAGTCAGTTTTGAAAAAGCCTAGAACAACCAATAAGGAATATATAATGGCTAGCCCTTTTCCTCGTCTGACATAATGAAGGTTTCTTGTAATCAGGCTCTGTTAAATAAATCAATTTCGATCTATGTACTTTACTCTTTCGCTTATAGTCAATCCCCTTTGACATAAATAAAACAATCCTGCAGTTTATATTAAATGTACAAACAATAACAATTGTAGTCATCAGTGTGTGTGTGTGTGTGTGTGTGTGTGTGTTCGATCCTACATATATTCCATATCGTTACACTTTTTGAATATTCGATATACAGATGCACGTTATTTAAAGTGTTCACAAGCAAACTTGTAAATAAATAATACTTGTTATCACAAGTGTTTTTTTTTATTTCTGTATGAAAATGAAATGAAAATTACATTAAGAGAGCAAGTTAATATTAACTAATGAAGATATGACAAGTTGGAGTTTGATTATAATTCGTCTCTAGCAGGCTTCTTGGCAGCATCTGCTTCAACAGCTTCTTCGACAGCGTCTTCAAGGGCTTCAAGGATTTCTTCTTCCTTGGGTGTTTCTGGTTCTTGGTCCTTCTTTGCGTCCTTTTCAGCTTCTTCAGCCTTTGCCTTATTTTCAGCATCAACCTTTTCCTCATGTGCCTTCTTGGCATCTTCTTCCTTCTCATGAAGATCCTTTGTTTCGTTGCGAACCTTTTCAGCTTCTTCGATATCGTCAGTGATGAGGATGTTGTCAAAGATAGTACCAGACTTCACTTGCCAGACATCAATACCAACGTTTGCAAAATCATAAGCATAGATCTCATTGTCGACCTTGTAATCTGGGTTATCAATGAGAGGGTGTTCCCATTCTCCCTTATAGGCAGGGTTAGGGATCTTCTTGGGTGTCCAGGGACCTTTATAATCGGGGTTTGCGATCGAAGGAGCTTCCCATTCACCATCCATGTCATCATCCCAATCCTCAGGCTTCTTAGCATTAGGGTCAGGAATAAATTCAGGGATATCATCATAGCCTTCAGGCTTAACATCATTAGGGTCATCAATCAAAGCGTCATCAACCCAGTCAGCAGGCTTGACAGCATTAGGGTCCTTGATTTGCTTGGGAGGCAAAAAGTCCCAGTCTTCGAGAAGAGATCCGGAGGCCTTCTTGTCAGAGTCAACCAAGATTTCGTATGTTTGATCAGGTTTAACAATAAGAGTATAGGTGTGAGTTAAAGTATCTTTAGGAGCTGAGATGGTCTTTTTGAAATCATAGTTGGTACCATTATAGCTGAAGATGGCATGTACCATGGATTTAGGACCACAGATATCAGGGCCAAACATAATGTTGTATGAGGTGTCACCATTGAATGTTTTGGGGTCAAATTCACCACCGAAGAACTAAGAAAGCAGTGTGAATAATTTGCCTCTTTCTCAAAAAACGCGTGCATTCAAACTCTGCTTTACCTTCAAGTAACTTCCGCCACAGTCAATGTCTTGTTCATTCTTGACATCAAACTGAATGACAAGGTTCTTATCCTTGTTTGTGAATGGCTTTGTCTTGGAAGAGACAGCATAGAAGCGATAGTCCTCGGTTGTTCTTAAACCAGCATTGGCCTTTTCGTCCACGTACCATTTACCAGGACTTACTTCAAGTTTACCAAGATCTTCGCGGTAAGTGGAAGGAGTCCAACGGTCTTTCCAACCTTCACCATCAGAGAAAGTTTCGTGAAAGAAGACTTCAGCAGAGGCAAGAGCAGCAAGACCCAAGATGGCGGTGATGGTGGGAATCTTCATTTTGTTTGTTTTTTATTGACAAAGTAGAGAAAAAAAGAAAAAGAAAGAAAAGGTACAAGGGAAATATATAAAAATTTCTAGAAAAAAAAAATAACGGCTGGAACGTGGCAGACTTATATATAATACAGGCCAATAACACAAATTCCTGCAAAATTGACCACTGATTGATGGCATCAAATGATTGGATAAAATCATTGTTAATTCTGCTAAAATTAGGTACAAGGTAACACTAAAGGAAAACTATTAAGAATGAATACATAAACAAGAACCTTTTCGATAATGAAATTATGACACGTAATAAGCTTATTTATTGTAGTTATTCCAAATTGAACTAATTTATAATACAATCTACTATTCTTTTATGGCATCAAGTCCTTTCAAGACTGTCTCTGGTAAACCTTTAATTGGGCGTCTGTTGATTGGATCAACAAATACATGAGTAAATCCACCGACTACAGAGGCCAAGGGCTGTTCATTTTCAAACAATCCAACGCGATAGGTGACACTGGACTTGCCTACTTTAGAGATACAAAGTCCAGCATGGATGATGTTTGGATAAGATGCGGGAGCGTAAAAGTTGGCTGAACTAGATACAACCAACCCAATCGGTTTACCCGCTTTATTTGGTTCTAATCCACAGTTTTTGATAAGATACTCATTAATGACTGTATCAAAGTAATGATAATATATAGAATTGTTTATATGACCGTACTGATCATTATCACTCCATCTACAAAATTGTTACTATTGAACAAGAAAGAGATGGTATTTTATAACCTTGTTTGAATAGGTAAGAAGTATTTATAATGTAATCTTTCTCTAAATGTTTCCTTCTTTGCCTCCGTCTGTACGTGTCTCGATATAGTCGATAACCTTTCTTGAGCTCCCATGGTTCTTTTAAGTAAGGGAAAAGTTGCTTGAAAAAACAACATGAATAAGCAAGAAAAAAAAATGTAATTTTAGGACTTGTTTACCTGTTTTGTACAAGATAAAAAAGGAAATTCAGATAAAGTGTGTTAGTTTTCAGATGTAAAGAAGTTTATGTTCAGACAACTTATTTTAAAGGTGAGAGAAACATCACTTAAGCTAGAGAAACGTTCCATTTTAATAACAATTTAACCCAACCTCTTTAATGTAAATGGATAGTATTTTTTGAAGTTAATTTTTGTTTGGATGACTGGTGAATCTTCCCTCATTTTTAATAAAGGATTTAAAGAAGACTCATTTCATCCAAAAGTCTAATTTACATCCATGGATTCATCACCTGAAGCCAAAATCAGACAAACGAATTAAAATTGGTCTAATTTTTATTGTTAAGAAACCACATATGAATAAAAATCTGCTCCGTCATGTATAAAAATAACGTACAATCATCCCATTGTGGATTCTGCAAACTTTGGTAGTTGGCAACTCTAGCTCTTATGACTTAATTTCTCGAATTTCCAAACCAATAATAGGACTATTTTATAAGTTATAAGACCTGATGATAATTAGAGTACTTATCCAAGCAAATATTATATCAATTGAATTCTAATTAATAGATCAATCATCATAACAGAGCTAGCTTCTCCTCTTTCTTTTTCCCATAGTATAAAATAACCAATGTACAAAGCAATAATACTAAACAAAATTCGTTCTGTCAAAGAAAAAAGGACCTCAGCTGCAGCATCAGGCGAAGGTAAATATATACTACCTGTTAACACAAAGAGTGCTGTGATACGCTGTTTTATTTAACGCATTTTTTAAATATGATGAAAGCTCTGCATCTACAAGTGCTTGCAAAGACTGTAAGGAAACTGGTCATTTTTCCAAGAGTTATTTTAAATGTAAATTTTACAAGCAAACTAGTGCTGGTGATGTTAAATCCTCATATTGCATAGTCTTTTAAGTCTTGCTTACTAACATTCTTTGACCCTAAAGTTGGAACATCAGGTAAAGAAAGAAAACAAAGCGACAATATCAAACAAGATAAAAAAAAAATTGCAAAAAAAAAGAAAAAGAAAAATCACTACTATTGATAACGAAGATACATGCAAAAGGTACTATGAAAAGGGACACAAATCAATAAGGTCACCCAGCTGCAAGTATCATATCTCTATGAAGCCTATCACCATCTCTGCTTGCAGGGATGTAAGAAATATAGTATTTCGTGCGCAAGTATTTGTAAATTATTACACTACGCTTCGCTCACAACAAGAACTGAATAATGATATTCCACATTGTATTTTTCGACAACAATTTTGGCACTCTGTCTATCAATTGGTTAATGCAAAGAGAGTTACAACCAGCACAAATATACCACCAAACATGATGACAGTCTGGTACGTATTCCAATCTCAATATAATTCTATCGTATATCATCAGCAAATTGCAGAAGGAACTTCGCAATGGTTAGCGGAAGCGTGTACAGAGCTGGCTACTAGTTATCATAATAGCATAATGGAACATTTTGAATCACGTCTTTTATCTTCTTTGTATTATTGTCTTCAAAACACCTTCATGGTACGTGATGGATATAAGAATTGTATTTTTTCTTCTAAAAAGTAGTATCTACTTGTTAGTCAATGGATCCTAAAAATCTTAAAGTGATTATTAAAGTCTACTGCTATCAATATGTGTGCCAAGACGAACCAATATGGTCAAACAGTGTAGTTTTATCAGCAAGTTTAATAAAAGATGTGTTAAGCGGCCATGTGAACCAGGAATGTGAACCAATTAAAGTCTTGATTAATCAAAGAATATCACTTACTACTCTATCCTCTGCCCCCGAAAGGGCATAGATGCTTTGAATATATTTTGAACCAATACGAAGATGAACACTCTCAACGCCGCCTTTTCGATGTTCGGCGCCTTCTTCTTCCAAGATTGTTTATTATTTTACCAAAGCCGTCAGTACGCTGACGATTTGTGACCATTAGCGCAAATGCACTGTCTGTTTTTGTGAAGAAACGATTACTAAGGGTTATGTCAATCAACTTGAATTGCTCCAAAGAGTATTCAACTTTAACATATTGAAGAACGTGTGTAAAAGGTAGAAACATTTTATTGGAATACAATTAAGAAAAATGCATGAACTAACTTTGGCTATGTATAGAATGGAAGAATTGGTGTCCAATGAAGAAAATAAGGGTGCTGTTTGACAACATTGTTAGATCTGATGGATTTTACATAGATTTCATATTTTACAGAAAGACATTTGGCGAAAACGGAGATGATACTTTGATACAAAACCATGACTTGGGTGCTGATGACTTTTCAATAGAAGAAGTTACTCAGTTATATACAATAAATTTTCTAGACTCTGGTAGAAAAACAGTCTATACGGCTGCTATGGGTTTAGATGAAAACCAACATGAAATAAGGCGCTGCACTACGAAGGAGTATTATCCTTTAACAGGTTCCACGGTGTATGAACAGAAACTGCAATAGGAGAAGGACATGGTAGGTATCAATGCTACACCTACAGCAAAAACTGCTAGAAATATTTCTTTTCTACGATTTGCAGATCCCATGCTTTCAAACATAGACAGGCTGTTCACTTTTTATGGCTTTAGTACTGCTAAATATCGGTTTAATCTATACCAAGGCAAACAAAGAGCTCCCGAAATGATGGTCAATATGTTATTAAACGACAGTGCTAAATATAATAGGAAAAGCGTTTTAAAAATAAGAACAAAAAAGAAAAACGAAAAGAAGAAAGGAAAGAATAGGTAACAACAGTACAGAAAGTAAATTCATAACTACAATGGTATATGTTAGTATAAATCTACTCATTTTATATACTTTAGGAGAAATAAATGGTAACCTTTGAAATTTAAAGAAGACAAGTCCAAAGTTCCACTTGTTGTCTTTGGGGACGGTATGTTCGGAAAGGACATAATGAAAATGAAAGGCTTACGTTGCGGTACAGCTGGTATCATGTGGCGCTGCTTGAAAAAGAGAGAAGCTGCTAGTGACCCTGTTGCTGTGCCAATTGATGAGTTCAGAACCTCAAGAAATTGCTGTTGGTGTGAAACTGCTATTTTGGATGGTGTGAACGGCGCCAGAGACAATAATGTACTTGTCTGTAAAGCATGCAATGCATTATGGGAACGCGATGTCAACGCGGCAAAGAACATAATGGAAATCTCTCTTGCAATTTGGAAAGGCTTGGGTAAGCCAGAGGCTTATTCCAGAGGTTAGCTTCATATTTAATTCACAAATCGCCGTATTAAACACGGTTTTCCTTGCAAAACGAATTTAGATTATTACAGATAAAAGAAAAAGTCTGAACAACTATCTCCATTAGTCTCAAAACTGATTTCACTTCTTCTGGATTTCCTTTTACGGTTTATCTCAAAAAGATAAGTAGAGTGTTTAAAGATACCAAACATCGTCTGAATTTGAAGTAGAAGCACTGTAGGCACGGCATAAAAAAGGGTACTTTAATGCTTTGAGGGACATTTTGTTTCCTGCTTTTGATCACGTAATGACATCCAAAACTCTTTTAAAGGTTGATCCACTATGTGTGACATATTGGGGGTAACAGACACACTGTGGCGCCGTTGATGGGTTGATGGCGCATTCTTTTCACTCTCTGTTGGATAATGGCATATTAAATAATGATTTTCCAATTTGAAATATTCCAAAATTTTCCTTGTTTTCTCTAATTCCTTTTCCAAGGCTCTATTCTTTTGAATAACATCAGCCCATTCTACTTCCTTTATTTTCTTTTCCTCCGCTAATTCATCCATCTCTGCTTTCATGACTAGTAGCCTGTCTACCAACGCCATCTGTCCTTCATTGACCATATCGAATTTAGACTGTACGTGTTCAAGCTCTTGAGAAAGTTTTTCGCATTGTTGCTCTAAATCTTTGGTATGCATCACTTCTTCAGAAAGACATGTGCTTGCTTTTGATAGTACACTTGTCATATCATCAGTATACGACTGAATATTCTCGGCAATTTCCAAGCTTTTTAAAGTCGACATTGAGTTTTCTCCTTCAAAGCCTTGTTGTAGTGTTAAATCTGGTGAGATCCTGTTACTGCTATCTATCTTTTCTAAACAGTATCTACGCTCAAGTTCTAAAATAGTCAACTTTAGCGCATCCCGTTCACATTCTAAATCTTCTTTATCATATTTCATTTCTTGCAGCTCATCCAGAGTCTTTTGATGATCTCTTCGTAAATGTTCTATTTCAAGCTGCATATTGCTACCAAGATAGGGGCCGGTCAAGCTTTGAGGTGTTGATGGTAGAGATTGATTCTGTATTGAGCTACAACTGCAAAAAGAACTAATGCTTAATCTTCTTTGAATTGACAACGCTTCCTCCGCAACAAATAATGGCGTGGTCGTCTCCTTGGCAGAAACAGAGGACCATCGTTTTCTCAATAGAGGTTTGGAAGGTTGCATTTTAGTAGGATACATCGTAGACGAGCGTTTCAACTCTTGACGCGCCTTTTTCTTTCGTTTCCAAAACATTCCTAACCGGCCCGTGGTCCTGTTTAGCTTTCGATGCTGTTCTCCTTCATCTGCAACGTATTGAGCATGAAGGGCGTCTAGCTTTTCTTTAGTAATAATATGGGAAAGAGAAACGGCATCCCGGATAACATTTCCGTAATTTTCAGCATAGGGTAAACACAGCTTTCGCGAGGTAACAAAATCCAATATATCTTCAAATTCTTCTAGTTGTGATATAATGTGATCTGAGGACCTTTTGAGCATGGCGATCGCTATACGCATAATGGTCTCTGCTGCTCCTTCTGCGAATATGATGTCATAGATTCGATTGACAAGACCCATAGGAAGCGCATAAGCAAACAAAGTCAAGAACCACTGTGATGCGTACATGGCTGCATGAACTCCATGCTGCATAAAATGACATGATAAGTCTGGAAGTATCTCATGAAGGAGTTTTGAAAATTGATAAAGACGTAACTGGAGCCCTTCCATATGAAGAGTAAACATGGATCTCATCTCATACGTTTCCATTAGTCTAACAAAGACACAAAATGATGGCACTTCAGGCATCTACTTCAATAATGAGTCAATCTATCAACGATAGTAGCTTTATACCTACATTCATTAAAAGTGGGCCCACAAGAAAGGCTAGTCCTTGACAGTACCCGACTTCAGTATCATAAAGACTGTATGCTTCAAGTATTCGTTTCATAGCAGTTTGTCCGCTCCCGTTCTCTTGCTTAAACATGTCTATTCGAGGAAACGTTCTTGCTAGGTCACGCTGAATTATCCTCTCGTGCGGTGACCTCTCTTGACATAGTTGACCATACACAGTTTCCAAATGTAATGATGCGGATTTCGACATGGCTTGCCAAATCAAGCCTCTTACGCGTGCAGGGATTCCTGAACGTAGCTTGAGAGATAATAGATGTGGTAACCTTAGCGCCACCTGATCCGAATCCTGAATGACGGCTTCCCAAAATCCCCAATCGATCTCTTCTTCCTCGTTAAGTGATACGATGTTGTCCTTAACTAGTCGCTGTAGTGTGCTAAAGTGAGCTCTGAGCTCATTGGAATGAATAAAAATCGACTTTGGATCTTTTTCTAGTAGCGCGTTTTGTCGCTCTATTTGTGCCAAGATAAATGCTGTCGACTCCTGCAGATAGAGAAAAACGTGTAAATTAAAAAAAAAAAGCCAAGTAAACAAGCTACCTGTGGTGGTAAACGTGCATTTTCTTCTTGGAGTCTGTCGAATAGTCTGTTATCATGTGTGTCGTCTTTAGCAAGCTTGTTTGGCAGTAGAAAGTTGGGTTCGGCATTTGAAAATGTATGTGCGGCTGGTGCTGTATATGATGCAAGCGTTGACATCTAAACAAGGGCGAAAAAAGAAAAAGAAAACAAGTGCAAAAAAGGATAGAAAGAAAAGAGGAAAGAGTAAAGTTAAAAGAAAAAAAGGGGAGGGATAGCCATGATTACTCAGAAATGCAAGGGGGTTTGCTAGTTTTACAAAGAAATAAATATAAAAACAACAAATGACAGGGTGAGAAAAAGGAGGTAAAGACGTTCCAGTAGTATATACTTTTATGAAGAATGCAAAAGGCTATATTAATGTATAAAAATGAATTACAGAGTATGGATGATTAAGAAAGGGATTATATAGATGCTTTCTATTTCGTTAGGGTTGTGAGCTTGTTATCATAGTAATATGCATAAGCATGCTTTTTTAATGTACTTGCTTTAACTAAGATAACCGTAAGAAATACAGAACCCACTGAAGCTGCTTGATTAATCACATTGATAAATTATTTTTGTATGTTCATATGCGTATGTTTATTTGATATTGGGTAAATGCAATAGAGCAGAGAAAGAGAGAGATGAAATATACAGTGTAGACAAGAGTTAAACGTCGGGTAAGAAAGTTGATTCAACTATGATGCTCGTAACTCTATAAGGATCAATGTTGGAGGCAGGGCGACGATCTTCCAAATAGCCTTTGCCCTCAATACCAACATGACGAGGAATACGAATAGAAGCACCACGATTAGCGATACCGTAACTGAACTGGTCGATGTGTCCAGTTTCATGTCTACCAGTCAGACGTTGATCATTATCTTCACCGTAAACGGCTATATGTTCAGCGTGACGCAAGCCCATCTTTTTGATAGCTTTTTCAATGGCAGCAATACCACCCTCTTGGCGCATTTCTTCAGTAGAAAAGTTGGTGTGACAACCAGCGCCGTTCCAGTCACCCTTGATAGGCTTGGGATGGATAGAGACAATGATGCCAAAGTCTTCTGAAACACGTTCCAAGATATATCGGGAAATCCAAAGATGATCGCCCATGTCAATGCCTTCACATGGACCTACTTGGAATTCAAATTGACCTGGAGCCACTTCAGCATTGACACCTGAAATGTTGACACCTGCATACAAGCAAGCGCGATAGTGGGCTTCCACAATATCTCGACCGAAGATCTTTCCTGCACCAACACCGCAGTAATATTTGCCCTGCGTATCATATATCAGTATATATAGATACTTGTTTTGTTTTTGTTTACCTGTGGCTCAGGGAATCCGTGCATCGGCCAACCATAAGGCTTTCCTGTAGCAGGGTCGAACAGCATGTATTCTTGTTCAATACCAAACCAAGGCTTGGCATCAGCATGAGCGTCCATGATCTTCTTGCAGGCGTGACGGTAGTTGGTGGGATGAGGTGTACCATCGTTATTAAAGGTCTCACAAAGCACAATTTTATTATTGCCACGACGGAAAGGATCAGCAAACAAGGCCACGGGTTGAATCAGGATATCAGAGTCATGGCCTTCGGCTTGGCCAGTAGAAGAGCCATCGAAGTTCCATTCTGGTAGTTCACTAGCAGATGTAGGGATGAAATCAACCGTCCTCGTCTTGCTTCTTAAGCCATTTTTGGCGTCAATCCAAACGTATTCTACTTGAATTTTTTCGCCTTGAGGGAGAGAGAGGTATTTTTGAAGAAGAGTGGTATTTGAAACAACAGCCATAATGTAATGTTATAATGGAAAGAAAGCAAGTCATTTCGCTTCCTTTATATACAAAATTAAGATCATGTGGTTTTTATCAGTTGAGGGATGATGGAAATCTATTTATCTCAACCAAAACAAGTAAAAATGCCTTTATCTTTTGTAACCATATCCAGAGAATCCACTTTACCTATCTTGGGTTAGAATTTTGACCAATCTTGTCATGGCCCTGGATCTGCTGTATTTAAGAAAATCTCCTAAACTACAGTCTATTTATAAAGCAAACTAAAATGCTGAAATATACGTGTATATGTGTGTATGTATATATACAAAAGCACGGCGACTATGGCCTTACCACAGCAACTATCACTAGGGCTGTGGCATAGTTTATATATGTGTGTGTAACAGTTTGAGCAGTTAATCTTATCTTTACTCTTATCACTGATGTTTATTTATATAGGTACAAGGTTCGTGAGAAAGCTTATTTCTTTTTCTCTCATTGTCAAATGGATTAATTATGTAAAAGAGTCCAAAAATCGGGTATCATCACAAAGTAAAGATCAATAGCTGATCGAAATCGACGTCGATACATTTTTGGGGATATAATAGTTGGATCCCTTTTGACACCACCCAACATACCTGATTCTTTTACCCAGCTCTCAAGTTTCTTATCCCAGGTATACGTTCGAAAAAAGTCTATATGTAGAGAGAGAGAGTTATGGTATATGAAAGCTTAGCAAGGAACATATATATCATTACCAACTATGCCAACTACAATCTCATTTTTCTCGTCATCAAATCCAACCAACAGTGAATAATCCATCACATCAATTTGAACCAGGAATTGTGTATCATTATATAACGAATCACTTAGGTTATTCTTAGTATCTACCCTCATATAAAGTGGTGTTTTGCTAATCACTAAAAGAAACTTCCATCAGTCGAATGCACAATCAGTTGATTCATACTTACTCTCTACCAAGTTTTCATCCAAAAAGACTTCAATATCCTTTCCTGTCTTTGCTGCATATCGATTCCTTAAAGACCCCTTTAGATCATATGCCTATACAACCATTAGTCCCATTATAGATACGTAGGGTGTTGAACCAACCATTTTGACCGTATGCTCATAGAATAAATTCTCCATAACAAGGATATCCATCTTCATAGATTTGCCGCTTACATTGTTATAAAAACCAATGCGATATAAACCAAATATTTTACATAAAACTGTTGGTATCTATTATAAGCGTGAGTAAATTGTTGGAGGAATCTGTAAGGTTTCATATTACTCCTTTATCAAACACCTCATTAAACATGTACATAAAATACTTGTTGGCTGATCCGACAAATGCATCCATTTCAAACTTGGATATTTGCTTGATCAAAAACCTTTCATCTATAAGGGAAATGAATATAAGCAACAGAACAAATGAGTATATGCTATCAACCTTTTGTCTTTAGGAAGGTTGATCCCGATTTGCCTCCTGCTGTATTCCAGACATTACATCGGGCAAGCGATGATATAAATGTCTCTCCACATCCACACATTTTTCTAAACATATCAAATTGCTCCGCATAGTATATTTTGCATGTAAAACTTGTTGATCCTCCCTTAAAAGCTAAAGATATGTTAATACAAACCATCAACCATTAAAAACAACGCATATTACAGAATCTCCATGGCCTCTCAGCTTCACCGGTTTCAGGAAACATATCTGAATAAAATAACTTGTCATCTGTTGGTGCATCAGATACGATACTAGATATAGATGCGCTCTCCTGTCGATTATTCACTACTTTGGACATTCGTAATGCCTGTCTCTTTTCTAATTTCTCTCGATAAAAAGTACTTGCAAGCATGTACGATATGATGCTACTTGGTTCATCTTCCCTTACAAGAATGTTGGAATCGGCAAAGATATGTTCCGTAGGAGAGCTAATCATTCACGTGAGCACAATTACACACACGACAGCGTTTATACTTACAATGGATACTCTAATGGGAGTAAATTGCTTATGCTCTTTTCAGCAAGTACATACGTAATAGCTTTCATGATTGAATTTTTTCCGCTACCATTGGTGGACCAGTCAAGATCAGTAGGCGTGACTCCATGATCTACAAAGAGTTAACAATTAAACATCATCTGTACTGAATCATACCTAGATCGAGAAGCACTGCAGCCTTTGATTGATTGTCCTTTTTGTCTCCTGCATATAGACCAGTTTCGACACTTAGAAAGGGTAAAGTATTGTTTGACATTTGTAACTGATGCTCCTTATTGAACTGCTGAAGTTCTAGAATACTTGGTACCGTATCTCTTCCTAAACATTCGTCGTATTCATCCATGTGCACCAGCGAGAATGTTGTATGTTGAAATGGTAAGCGCTCGTCTGAATTATAGTCATATTCTTCTTCGTCATCATCGTCGTCATCATCTGATACTCCAAACTTGCCTTCGTCCGATGATGATAGAGAGTCATCATCATGCGCAATTTCCTTGATTTTGGTATATACCTCTAAAGATGCTTTGCTTGGTAACCTTTCTCTTAAATCTCTACCATTCGCTAGTTTCCTTCGTGATATGGGAATAGGTAAATGCGAAGGTTGGTGGTATGTTACTCTGCTTGGGGGTTTTTGGTGAAGCAGAGGTGTAGCAACGGGTATACGCCCTCTTATCGGCAGCTTGCTACTGCTACCTTGTTCAGTCGCTGTCCTAGAGTAAGGTCTTGTAGACTCTTGAGTCATACGTGGATGATGTTTATCATCAGGAGGAATAAACCCAAATCGGTATCCATATCTCGTCGCTGGTATGCCTTGAGACTTTCTTGAAGCGTAATATCCACGATAGGGTTTTGCTGCTTGATCTGTATGACTAGCTGATGTAGGGCCAGATGATGTCATGTAGCTGGTGCTTGTTTCATAAAATGATCGGCGATTAGCTGCCTTATCGGTTGTTTCAAGCGCCTTGTGATGTGATAATGTTCGCTTATGACGTGGAGTTACTCCAGATGATGGTGAACTCTTGGATCTACAAACGGTTGGTTCAGGTAGTAACCCTGTCAGTCGCTGATAGGCCGTTGGCGCCACATGACGAGCAAAAGCTGATTGTATATCCTGCCTTTCACTTGGCGTATAGAGGATTGCCTCATCTTGAATCATAACAGTTGGTGTAGGCTGTGGCGAAGGTGTATGCGCGTCTTCATAGATCATGGACTTTTCTAAAAATTTCTGTCGCTGCTGCTTGTCGACTGAGGAACTAAGAGCAGTAGCCAATAGCCCGGCCTTTGATGGCGTATCCTTCATCAATTCCAATGATAGTCTTCTGGCTACGCTAGGATCCAGTGTTTCTTCAGTGGCCGATCGGCTCAATGGTACGCTCCTGCTGTTTTCTGCAGAGCTGCCTAGAAATGCACTCGATGATGGATTGACATCTGCAACATCTTGCAAAAACTTTTGATCAAATTGCTGAACCTCATCAAGCCAGGGGAAAGATTGAGTTGGTGATTCTCCCAAACTAGGTTGATCTTTTAATTCTGTTTCTGGATGCTCAGTATCCTCTTGCTCTTCTAATGTAACATCCAATAGTGGCAAGTCTGCGGCCTCTACAGCGCGCTTTGTTCGAAGGTTAAGATTGGATACGACGGGTGTAGATGTGCTACTGTAAAGGAGACTTTCCGCGGGAAACATCCTTCGCAAATGACTTGTTGTCAACCTTCGAAGCTCTCGTTCAGGCCGTATAAATCGTCTAGCAAAGTCAATGTACTTGAGGTCCCAAGTAACGGCATGGTTTTGCAGTTCGGCTAGCACGTTATTCAACTGCAGTGTATCCGTAGGCGAACTTGTTGCATACTCTGACTGGAGTTTCTGAAGTAAGCTCTTTTTATTCTTCATTGCTTCCTGTGACATTTCTTGCAAGTATTCTTTACATGTTTCCACCATATTAGGCTGAACAATATCGTACGAAAATGCCTTGTTTCGCTCAATAATAGAATCGAAAAAGCGAGCAATCTTTATACGCGTTGATTCCAATGCTTCATCCTTGAGGGCCATTTGCTTCTTGGAGCTGAAGCAAGTATGAAGAGGTGGTGGGATCACCTCGACGACCTTGACCATTGCATGTGTAAAATTGACAGTATAGTTTTGGATGCGAAATGAGAGTGTATGGTCCCGATAAAGCCCATGTGGGCACCCTTCATCTTCTTGTTCTCCGTCTTCGTAGAGTGGGATAGAGGAGGACTGATAAAGTAGTAATTCTAAAAACTTTCCAAACGAGTACCGCTGTAGCAATTCAGACATGGGTTTCCAACCGTGTGTTATTTTGCATAGGTTGCAGTGAGTGGATATAAAGATGGGAATCTTCTTTAGGTATTCATCTTTACCAATCTCGAGCCTTTCTTCTACCATTTGTTCATCATCTACTTCATGAAATACTTGCACTTTGATTTGAGCATTACCATGTGAGAATGTCACATCATGAAACATGAGCGGTGATCCACATATTTTAGAAGTACAAGGTTTATATGCCTCCTTGGCAGCGTTCAGAATATACTGTCCTAAGGTGTAGTCACAGGCAGGATCATAATAATGGTATGGCTCTGCCACTATCTTTTGACAAGGAATCGTATGGTCGTCCATGGGGTATATAGTGCGATGAACAAGTATTTCTTGGTGATTTACGGGTGATAAAAAGGAACTTACATCTCGGATATATTTCTTAAAGTTGTACCAATTCTGGATGTGCAAGTCTTGATAGTGTCGATACTCAACGTCATTCTCTAATTGAGCTTCATATGCCTTGAAATAATCCATCATTTGGTTTAAATCACGAGGAATTGGTGGTGGGATAAACTTGGTGGAATCCTGTTGCTGCTCTGGAGCATCTCCCTCAAATACCGTCCCGGTGATGGTGGGCCCTAGTCTTTCCCGAATGACACCAATTAACTTTTTCTGTGAGTCTCGTAGTTTAATCAGGATATGGGGAACAGGTAATGTGACGCCAGGAGAAATAGAGAGTACTGTATTTTGGTACTGCTTTAAAACTGTATTGATGGCTGTCAAGCAAATATCATCATCTTCAACAATAATTGGCTCCTGTTGATAAAACTGTCCTTTCTTCTTTGTTGTTACTACATCCGCTGCTGCTGTACTTACAGTTATGTGTGACTCAGCTACGGATAATGCGGATATGCTTTGAGAATCGACAGGTCGAATGTCCGTGAGGGACCTCTCAGCAAATGAGGTCATTTTCTTGACGACCCTCTCTTCTTCTGTCTTTTCTTCTTCTTCTTGTTGTTGTTCTTCTTCATAATAAATACGATACCATTTCCTGAGTTCAATAAATTCCTTGCGCAGCTGTGCCTCGATAGTGAGATTATTGACCACTTGCACCATAAACTTCATGATTGTCTTAATCACCGTCAGAACCTTATGTTCGCCTCCTCGTAGTATGATGGTTGCACCTCTATCTTTAGGACACTCGTGAAAGAGTAAGAACGTTTTACGGCGACTAGGGAGGTATTCATGCATAATGGTCATTGTCTCAAAAAGCTTGCATTTTCCTTGAGTCACTGATTTTGTATTCCACAAGTCGTTTTTATAATTGAATATGACTGCATCAGCACATCGAGCAATAGCATCGAGCTTTTGTTTTTTGACCTTGTAGACGACTACAATATTAGCCTTGTTCAACAAGTCGATGACAGTACGAGGAGCATGGCTGGCAATCAACACAATAGACGGCTTTAGACCAATGATCTGGTCTACCAGGGCATTCATATGATCACGCTCCCAAGCCAATAAACGGTCTAATTTAAGATACTCATGTCGGTTCACTTCACCGCTGAATCCGTCTAGATCAAAATTCAAAATCAAGATGCGTGGGTTCTCAATCTTTCGGACCATATGCTTGTGCGCTACGTTCTTTGATAGAACCACACCACTCACAGAGAAGCTATCCTTGGGTGTTCCACCAGGAACTCGTTTTATTTTGACATAATGGTTCATGTCAAATGTATCTCGGATCCTTATCTGCGGTTGTACTTCGTCAGCAATTTTGAGTAGTAATTTCATCATGACCTCTTCCCACGGACCAGGGTTCTTGATCAATCCCTCCGTTTCAACCTCCAGAAAGTGTCGGATCATGTTGCGCATCAAATATAAAAAAGATTCATCCCACTGTTGATGTGTCTGTGTACAAGAAGCGATCTGTGTCCTTAATTGCTCCACATCTGGGGTAGCACTACGTAGACTGTTTGTATCCGCACAGGTAGTGTTATTAGTATCTAGTTGAGAGGAAGTAGATGCTTCCATAGTTGCCTTTGTGATGGGTATATTTCTCATAAGACTCTTTGTCCTTACTCTACTATGTCGAATAGTTGAAGACGAATTATTAGTCGAAATGGTAATCACATTATTATTGCTTCCACTGCCTGTTCCATCTGTCAAGCTCAATCTTCTCCTCATGGCGCGTTCAGGTCTCATCAACCATGGCTGTGTTTTTCCTGTTGTAGTCGTTGTTGTGCTTGTACTTAGAAGCGGAGTTGGAGAGCCAATGTCAAACGTTGTTGCATAATCTTCAAAAAAGATATTGTTGAAAATCCCCGAATTGGGCCGTTCATTCGTACCCGTGTTGTTGCCACTGGCAGCAGCGCCTCCCAAGAAATTCAAAAGGTTTCTAGGACTCTTATCCCACCTTCTTGCATCTTCATCTTCTTCATAATACTCATTTTGAAGAACAGGCGTTCCTAAAGGATTTTCATTAGCCAAGTAGGAGTGACGACGGAATGGCATAGGTGATGATGAAGCGAGTTGACGCGATTCTAACACGGCTAAGCTACTTTCGACAGCTAAAGAATTCATGGTGCTTGTTCGTGATCGAGGTGTGGTCCTCAGGAAAGTAGATGTTAATAACTTTTTGATACCGATCTCAGCATCGCTGGTGGTATGATGTGAAGATGTGGATAAAGAAAAATGTAGATCCAGATTGGGACGTTGTATTTCTAAGCTATTTGTTCTTCTTTCAAATTCCTCGTCACTGTCCTGAACAGACTGCTGCAGTGTTTCAGAATCACCCGAATATGTCTCATGGATAGATATTAAATCATCTGGAAGACGATCTTCAAATTTGATATAACAGTCGTTACAGACACGTAATAAAGTATGGCTTGTGTGGATCTTGTTGTTGAGGCACTTTGAACAAAATATTCTTCCTACAAATAAGGATGAGTTTCACCTTTTACAGACTTGAGGAGCTTAAAAAAGCATACCACATGTACGGCAATGATGCTTTCTTCGAAACAGGTTAAAGGGCGCATTACAGTCTGTACACTCTCGGCACTGTTCGTCAGGCATCCAAAAATCCTTGTTGCCGCTGTCTGCCTCACCGCCTCGTAATCGATTGAGCATCCTACTGAGTGAATTTGTGTTGGATACAGAAAAATTGGTCATTACTGATTGGTTGTCACTATCACAGGATGATGTCTTTGTTAAAGGTATCATCATCACGGATGAGCCTTCTGGTTTGATAGTTGCTAAACTTGATTCATGAAGAGATTTGATTGATAGATCTACTTCTTTTGTTGGTGTAGGATTGATGGCTTTTATGGTCGGATATCTTTCTTTACTGGCTATTATCAGGCTATTCTCTTGCCCTATGCTCTCTAATATCTCGGCGGGTATTGGTACGGGTTGTTGGTGTTGTGGGCCAGATACAGCAGTTTTAAACTTGGAAAATATTTTTGAAATAAGGCCTTCCTCGTCTCCTTCTGCAATTATGTTAAAACTTGTTAATGAGCCAGGATCTTCATAATCTGGCTGATGTGCCTTTTCCATTCGACAAAATAAAAAGAGATAAAGTGGAAAATGAAAAAAGGAAGGAGACAATCAAAATGTATAGCCACTTGTACAACAGTTGAACTCTAACTCTAACTCTTTCTCTAACTCTCTTTCTCTCTCTGTTATCTTTCAAGGCAACAAACATAAGAGTTCAATATGTATCATGATCTTTTTTAAAAAGATATGTGAAACTTGACGCGCTTTAGACTATTTCCTACATGTTTTACACAAAGGGGAAAAAATAATAATAAAAAAAGATTAAAGTTATTTTTCTTTCTTTTTTTCTTTTTACTAATCTTCTTGTATTATAAAATGGCTACGTAGAGTTTATAGAATAAAAGGCATGTATATTATGTTTAACCACTATTCATAGTGAACCACCAAAGACAACACCCATTACTGTCTCAGAACTTAAAAAGTATGATGGCTCTGACCCATCGCTTCCTATTTATGTAGCTATCAAAGGCGATGTATTTGACGTTTCGAATAACACTGCATCTTATGGAAAGGGTGCTGGATATAACGTGTTTACTGGAAAAGATTCGTCCAAGGTAATGGTTATTCTTCCTTTTTCTTTAAGTCCTCATTGACACGGCTTTAAATTAGGCTCTCGGAAAGTCTTCTTTAAAACCAGAAGATTGCATTGCAGATTATAGTGAACTGACTCCAAAAGAAATGGAAACATTAGATCAGTGGTATGCTTTCTTTGCAAAAAGATACAATATTGTTGGAAAAGTGGTGCCTGATAACTAAAGGAAAAAGCATTTATCCAATAAAAAAAAGAGGTCTACATGCGCCCCCCTTCTCTATCCTCTGTTTCACTTTTTCTTTCTTTCTTTCTTTCATTCTTTGATGGCAACCTTGAACAATTCACCCATTCAACAGCATTGGTCATATTTTGTCTCTGGCTTAGAGGATGCTTCTTGTTGGCCAAAGTCGTTTATATTGCTATACACGTAATAAGCATATCTATTTATCTTTTTTCACCTTTATATTAACGTAACCGACAGCTCAAAGAGCATTCAAAAGGCAATACTGACCACTTTGGCTTTGAATGGAATATTATTTCTAGGTGGACAAATCTTTTTGGAAAGCTATTATCCTAAAACATTCCTTGGATGTTCTTATGTGGTA